AGCATCAAAGGTGTGTGCCGCCACACCCTGCTCAAAACTGAACTTTCGAGTGAGTTTAAAAACTCGCCATGAGGGGCTGAAGAGATGGCTCAGCAGGTCAAGAACACCGGCTTCTCTTCTAAAGGACCTGGGTTCAATCCCCAGGACCCACATTCTGGGAGCCATCTGTGGCTCCAGTTCTAGGGATCTGACGCCCTCTTCTGGCCTCTGAGGACACTGCATGCACGTGGTGAACAGACACACATAACCAAATTTAAAACGGCATCAGAACCATCTCCAGTCCACAGGCCATATTCAGCCAGGGCTTGCTGTGGCTTAAGGTGGCTAAAAGACAAGGGGTGCCCCACGGTCCCGGGTGCCTGGTTAGCCGTGGAAGTAAGTGAAGCAGGTTCCCAAGGCCTGGCCAGTCTGGGGATGAGGTGGCTGAAGACACTGAAGGAGAAGAGAAGGCTGGGTACTGAGAGGAGCAAAGCACCCCCTTCGAGATCCTTCTGGGCTGTGGAAGAGATGCTCAGGACACTGTCCCTTTGGTTCCCAGGGTGACCAGCGAGATGAAGAGGAAGAGTCCCAGATGAAGAAGTCAGAATCCGAGGTGGAGGTGAGAGCTGGGAATGACAAGTGAGATGGGCAGGGGCCGCCTCGCCAGCTGGCCCTGCCCGGCACTGACTCTGTCCTGGTGCCCTCAGGAGGCAGCTGCCATCATCGCCCAGCGGCCTGATAACCCACGGGAGTTCTTCAGACAGCAAGAACGCGTCGCGTCGGCCTCTGCTGGCAGCTGTGATGTGCCCTCACCCTTCAACCACCGACCAGGTAGTCCTTGGCCCTGTCCTTGCCCAACCCACACTCCTCAGACTATGGCCCTAAGTCCCTTTGGGACGACTCCTTGGAAAACAAGTCTTGCCCAAGGACTTCCTGGAGAAGGCAAGACCCCTTCCGTGTGCTTCCGCCCATAGCTCTCCAGGTGGTAGCACCCACAGAGGGGCTGGGTTGGGGGGCCATGTCACTGCTGGGCATTGGCTGAGCAATGGCTAATTCGCAAGGCCGGTTGGGCAGCTTTGGTGTAGACGCAGACACACTGCTGGCGTTGGGTGCTTCCGTGACGGGTTGGACTAGTCTGGCCTAAAGGCTGTGGATGCATGTCGGGTGGGATCTTGCCCTGGCTTTCAGTTGGAGCATCCTGGAGCAGCTGTCTTTAGGGTCCCTGTTTGGCTTCTCCTTGTGTAGCTTCTGCCTCCCCTTGAAGTGCCCTTCTATTTCTTGTCTGCTGGTCTGAGTGTTTGCATCCACTGTGTGCTTGGTCATGGGCTGGGGTCCCCGGAGCATGGCGGACTATACTCACTTGTGCTGCTACTCTGAGGCTGGCTGTGCGTGCCCATGTGCGTATCTGGTGCTGGCTGGTGGGAGGCATCAGATGGCTTGAGGCTGTGGCCCAGCTTGGCTGAATGTAGACCCTGGCTGAAGGTGGCGTGGACATCTAGGGCTGGCCCTGGGGGTGGGTGAGGCCTTGGGGCAGGGGTGGGGGAGACTGACCCTCTCTTGTCCTCTGTCTCTTTCTCTGTCTGTCTCTCTTGGCAGGTCGTCCGTACTGCCCTTTCATAAAGGCATCGGACAGTGGGCCTTCCTCCTCCTCCTCTTCCTCCTCTTCCCCTCCACGGACTCCCTTTCCCTATATCACCTGTCACCGCACCCCAAACCTCTCTTCCTCCCTCCCATGTAGGTAGCAGTCCCAGGCCTCGGCAGGGTGGGGTAAGGAGGGCCCCGCTTCCCAGCAGCCCCTCTCCCCCAGCCTGACTGCTGACTGCTGGTGTTTGTCCCCAGAGCAGGTACCTACCTGCCACTTGTCCCTGGCCCTGCAGGGCACTGGCCCCCAGGGGCCTGGTTTACAGGGTCTGGAGCAGTAATCTGGCCCCTGGGGGGGCCTGGGGAGCTCACAGCCCCCACCCATACTCAAGACCAGGAGGACCGTCCTGATCCCACCTGGCTCCCCACCCCTCCCTGACTAGCCTGGGCATTTGTTCCACAGGCAGCCACCTGGACAGCCACCGGAGGATGGCGCCTACTCCCATTCCAACCCGGAGCCCATCTGATTCCAGCACAGCCTCCACCCCTGTCACTGAGCAGATTGAGAGGGCTCTGGATGAGGTTACATCCTCGCAGCCTCCACCCCCACCTCCACCACCCCCGCCAGCTCAAGGTGAGAGAAGGATTCCACCTGCATCCATCCTCCCCTCAGCCTCTGGTTGCCACAGTAACGTAGCTCCAGGGGAACTGGACTGCTCATCACCGGCACCACACTGCTAAGGAAGTGGCTGTAGCAGAGAGAGCTGTGGTGTTGCCATCGGAGCTGCCTTCTCTAAACGGCACTGGCTCGTCACTGAAGTGGTCATGTGGCTTTCCTCCCTGGGCTCCCCAGTGGTTTAAAAAGAACTGATGAAGGGATAGTGGGGCGCAGCGGATGCTGAAAGATGCCCTCATGGTAGTTCTTCCTCGGTCGTCCCTAACTCCCTTACTCTTCAGTGGGTGGGCAGGGCACTATAGATTGGCCCAGGGCATCTGTCCTTCTCCAAGGGGGCTGACTGCATTGTATCCTTCGTGTGCACTGTGACAGAGGCCCAGGAGTCTACCCCCAGACTGGATGGTGAAGAGACCAGCAAGGAGGCCAAAGCAGCAGCAACCCCTCAGGCCTGGGCTGGGTGTGCGGAGGAGCCCCCTCAGGCACAGGAACCTCCCCGGGTGCAAAGCAGCGCCATGGAGGACTTGATGTGCACAGAATCCCCGGAGCAGGCTGTCCTGGCTGCCCCCGCAGAGCCTGCTGCCTCTGTCCCCTCAGGAGCTGATGCCCATGCAGCTGACACCATTGAGACCGCCACTGCCACTGCCGACACCACCATTGCCAACAATGTCACCCCTGCCACCGCCGGCCTCATTGATCTATGGCCTGGCAATGGGGAAGAGGCCTCAGCACCCCAGGCTGAGCCCAGGGTGCCCACACCACCCTCAGGTGCTGAGGCCTCCCTGGCAGAGGTACCTCTGCTGGATGAGGCAGTTCAGGAGATGCCGCCCCCAGTGGGCGAAGGCTGTGCCAACCTGCTGAATTTTGATGAGCTGCCAGAGCCTCCAGCCACCTTCTGTGACCCAGAGGAGGAAGTAGAAGGGGAGCCGCTGGCTGCCTCCCAGGTCCTAACTATGCCCTCAGCTCTAGAGGAGGTAGACCAGGTCCTGGAGCAGGAGCTGGAGCCAGAACCTCACCTGCTGACCAATGGAGAGACCACTCAAAAGGAGGGGACCCAGGTGGGACAGGGGTGGAGGAACAGTGCTCAGGGCTGAGGGGGAGGGCTGATGGCTTGTAGATCCGCACTGAGAAGCAGCTCTGTTCCACTCCCCTTTCCATCTCTGCATTTGTTCCCTGGCAGGCATCTGTGTTTCCCCGGCAACCACTCTTGGACTCCTTGGTTGCCAGGGAAACAGGCTCATGCCTGATAGATCAGCTGTAGTCCTGGCAGGTGGGTCCTAGTAACCTATGCTTTTTTTTTTTTTTTTTAATCCAACAGGCCAGTGAAGGATACTTCAGTCAATCACAAGAGGAAGAGTTCGCCCAATCAGAAGAGCTGTGTGCAAAGGCTCCACCTCCTGTATTCTACAACAAGCCTCCAGGTAGTCCTTCCCTGGGTGGCTGATGGGAATTCTGGTGACAGAACGGGATGGGAGGGCCAGCAGTGCCACTAAGCACAGTTGGCACAGCCCTTAGAGGTTGGGGAGACACAACTGATAGATCTGCCCAGCATCTCCTCTCCTCTCTTAATATATCCTAGAAATCGACATCACCTGCTGGGATGCAGACCCAGTACCTGAAGAGGAAGAGGGCTTCGAGGGTGGTGATTAGTACTGGCGACTGTCCCCGGGCTGCCTTCGCCAAGGCTCCCAGCTGCGGTAGCCTCTGGCCAGACGGCTTGCAGCTCCTGCATTAGCAGCGGCCCGTCTGGCACCCACTCTGGACTCCGGCGCCGGCCGGGGATTTGTCTGCTTCCCTACCCACAGGGCCCGACTTTTACAGCTTTTCTCTTTTTTTTAAAGTTGATAGACTTGTACAGTTGACTGGTTTTCCTCCCGTTGGTAGTTGAGATGATGTTGCAGATTATACCCCCTTCCTGCCCAGACCAGATTGTAGCTTAGTCTCTCTGCTCGGCCGACCAGGGTGGAGGCCTCCCTCACCCTGCTTGGGACCTGGTGGGGTTTGGGGGTTCTGGTGGGAAAATGTTCCCCCCATCACTTTTCCTAGTTTTATGTTTCTTGGAAAAATATCACTTTGTATTCTCTATCCAGGGCTTCAGATATTTTGCACGAATTTTAAAACATGGCAATAAATGGCTCGTGGGCTCTGGCTCCCTGGGACCCCTCCCCTTCTCTTCACCCTCGCTGCTTGGTGGAAAGGAATTATCAGGCCCACCTGGGGCCCCTTGGCTTCCCGCCCTCTCCTGCCGGGCAGGTCCCAGGCTGGAGGTCCTAGGCGTGACTCAAGTCAGGGCTTATAGATGGGACCCAGAGGTTTGGGTGGCCCCTCCTCAGTTCCTCTCTGCTTGGGTTCTTTTTCACATTAACTTTTTCCCCCTTTTCTTCTTCTTTTTTTTTTTTTAAAAGCACAAGCTTATGTAATGGGTCGTGCTCATGTCTGTTAATAAAGAAATCCAGATCCCTTCGGGCCTGCTGCTCTGGGCCTCCAGGGGTTGATCTGGCGTGGGCGCCGGCCCTCATGACCCGCTTCCCAACAACTGTCACCTCCGAGGCTACAGGGGGCGCACCTCTCTATTACCCTGCGATATCAAAAGCAGGCTAGATGGAAAATGAATACCCCGCCCCTGAAAAACAACGTTGGGTTTCCGAAGGCCAATTTATCTGTACACACCCCCACACGCTAGGCCAACACTCAGGCTCCTTCCCTAAGGTCCGACATGCCTGGTCACTAGCACCTTGGGCTTAAAGCAGCTAGCGTTGCCCTCCGCTTGTACCAAAGCAGATCACACACCTTTATTATCCTCAAAATGTAACAAACGGGGTAAGAAATCCCACCCTCCCCCCCACCCCTCCCTGCAGTCCAAGGGAAGCGTTTAAAAAGCCCCGCAGTCAGGCTAGGAGTTCGCCCGTGGGGCCCGGGACGCCGGGCGCCCCTCTATACGGCTGTAGTCCTCCCGAACAAGGGGATGGAGACGGGCAGGCGCCAAGCTCCGTGCTCCAGGGGCTCCCGGCTGCTGAGCTCTGAGTCGGTCCAGCTGGGGAAGACCCGGCGGCTGCGATCAGCCTGCAGACAGAGGGCAGGGCAGGGGGCGGCAGGCCGCGGGGCGCTGGGAAGATGCAGCGCCGAAGTATAGCCCCGGTCCAGGAAGAGAGGCTTGTAACTCGGAGGCGGCTGCTCCTGCTTCTCCGCGCTGTCGCGGCGGCTCAGAAAGGGCGTGACGATCTTGCGGTAGAGGCCGCGAGTGTCCGTGAGCACCTCGCTGTAGGGCGGCGGCGGCTCGGCCATCAGCACCGCCTCCTCGTAGCACGGCGGCTTAGACATGTCCGATTCCGCTGCGGAACGGGAAGCGGGCTGTGAGGATGAAGCCGCCGGCCCAGCCTCCCGCAGAAGCCTCGCCCCGCCACCACCACCCCAGCCCGCTTCTCCCGGTGCATCGGCAGGGAGCGCTCGCCTGCCTAAGCGCAGCCTTACCTTGGCGCGGGTAGCTCCAGGGCCGAGGCGGCACGGAGAGGTGCGGTGGCGGTGGGTGCGGCAGTGCGTGATGGTGTGGGTGCGGGTGCGCGTGCGGCTGCGCGGGCCCGTGGTGCAGTAGCGGGTGCACGTGCACGTGCGAGTGCGCGTGCACAGGCGCCTCCAGACGGCTGCGGTGTGGTGGTGGCGGCGGCGCCAGGCCCGGAGGACTTCCAGCCAGGCTGCCCTCAAGCTCGAGGGGCTCCAGCTCCAGGGCACGCAGGTTCTGCTCCCTCAGTCGCTCCTCCTGGCGCCGTTTGAGGCGGCGGCGCAGGAAGCTGCAGAAGCAGCAGAGCAGGACGATGAGACCCCAGATGAGCCAGAAGCCGGCGAAGCACGTGAGGAACGTGTAGGTGCCCTGGGACATCACCATGGCTGCGGCGCAAGAGGCAGGTCCTCGGCAGCTTTACTGGACGCTGGGCTCCTCGGCGTGGCCCCGGGGCCGCGCCACGCTCCCAGGTGCCGCCAGCGTCACTTGGGGACCTGCGGCCGGGGGCTGCCTGCGGCGGGGCTCAATGGGCGCGCATGCCGGCGGAGGGCAACTTTGGTTCCCGCTCCTTTCCATGGCGCCGGCCGGCGCGGGCCTGCTTCACCCGGGGCCGCGAGCGACCTGCGGGGCAGACACAGGGCTCAGCGAGGCTCGCCGGGATCCTGGGTGACTCCCGGACTGCACCCGCGTCCCGCGCAGGGCCGGGGATGCCTCCTCGGTGGGAACCCCCGCACTCCCCGGGGGCCGGGTGACGTCACCGAGGGATGACGTCACGCCCGAGGTTCCCCTGATAGGGTTTCCCCGAATCGAGACCCGGCCACCGCGTGCCGACGCGACCCAAGACCGGCCAGCAGGGGGCGCGCGGAGTCCGCCCGCAACCCCAGGGTCCAGCTTCGAGGTGGTTTCCGAGGCTGTGAACACTAGGGCACTAGAGTAGTCTCGGCGCGGTTATTTTGGGTGGAGAAAAGGACAGTCCACCAACTGGAGGTCCACTAGCAGCTCGCTTGGCACCCAGCTTCTGCCCTGCACTGCTTCCAGATATTAGCCACGCCTGTAAGAGACTGGCGAGCGGCTGCCACTGCATGCCACCGGCCCTCCCTTTGTTTGCTCCCGATGCGGTGTGCTGGGCGTGGGCCAGGCGCTCTTTCCTTCCTCTAGGCGCCTCTGCCAGCCGGATTCCAGCCCCAACTTGACTTCCCTCACCACCTACTCATGCGCAAACCCCACGTGGCTGCATCTTTCTTACTTCCAGCCCTTCCCCTCCCTTCCATCAATTCCTTCCCCTCTTTGCAGAGGGGTGGAAAATTAGATGAGATTTATCTTTCGGATCCACCTCCTTTCACAGCAGGGGGCTGAGGACATCTCTGCATCGGGAGAGAATTCAGGAGCCCTGACTGCTTAGTTAAGGCCAGCAAGCAACAGACGGTCACCATCCCCAGGGCCCTTTTCCAGTGCCTTCTACCAGGAGCTTTAACACAAGCCTTTGGGTAACGAATTATTTCTAACTCACAGCTGAGAACTGGAAGAGCAGTGAACTGCACAGATGGCAGCGCTAATTTGAACCTAGGCCTAGCAGCAAAGCCCTGGCCTGAGCTCGTGGGAAGTATGGTTTTCCAGGAGCTCTAAGGAACTGCTTGCCCTTGGCACACCATCGTTCACTCAGCTTTGGTGCCCACAATCAGCTTAAGACCCAGGCTGAAAGGATGCCAGGGCTTGGCCACCCCATCTTCCCCAGATGGCTTCTGTCTGGCTCTGGCTGCCCTCAGCCATGTGCCACTCGGTGCCCATGCCAGTCCTATCCTGGGCCTGCGTTCCAGAGCAGACAAGGGTAGGAACAATAGCTCTGCCCGCCCCCTCGACAACCCCACCACGAGGCTGCCATGGTGACGCAGCCCAGATAAAAACACGATGCTGCCAGTCACCGGGAGTTAATTAAATCTGTTGTTCTCCTTTCCTTGAGCCCTCAGGAACAGGAATGTTCTGAGGAAACAGACACTAGCTGGAGGTTTCAGCCAAAAGGGCAGAAACAGTCCCGGGTCAGAAAAGGTATTTCTGTGGTTGGAGGTAATGGTGCTTGCTAAATTAGAAGTCTTTGTCAAGAGCCTGGGGGGATGGGGGAGGGGAGTACGGGTCTGCAAGTACGAAGTCGGCTTGAGCCCAAAAGACTGGCCACCGTGGACAACATGGCATCATGGTTCTGAGCATATAAATAAAAGGGAGCTTTAAAATGTCTGTCAAGGTCGTCAGAACTTGTCCCCTCTTTCCATCTACATTTTTGCTGTTTTTAGATAGGTGTCACTGTACAGTACAAGCTAGCCCCACGCAAAGAGCAATCCACCTGCCTCTGCCTCCCCATTGCTGGGACTAAAGGCATGCATGCACCACACCTGGCTCCATGCAGAATATTAACATCACCTTGTCACTTCTGGTCACACCAGCATTTGATAGATGAAGTGACAAGCTTAGAAGACTCGTTTCGTGCCATACAGCTAATAAATAGGAGGTGTTTAGTCTGTATCTGAGACAGTCGCTGTCCACTTTCCATGTGGTGAGCTGTGAAAGAAAACTCCAGTGTTGGTTAGCGCTCAGTGCCTGAGAACTTGGTAGTTAGGTTAACTAGTAGCCAGAATGTGTGTTCCTGTTCCTTCCTGTCGAGGCCTTGGACCGCCTGTTACGGTGTAGCTCAGGGGAAGTACTACAAGATGGAGAGAGATTGGCAGCTCACAGCTCAACAGGAAACAGCACAGAAACTATGCCCTGAGGGTATCTAGCTGGCAGCCTGGGCATTAGGCCAGACTCAAAAGACTAAACCCCAAATCTGTGTGCTGCTGTCACCAAGTCATCCGCAAGGACTAAGAACCATCGTTCCCTGCACTGTGTGCCAACGAGGGGCCAGAGGGAAATCTCTTCCTTGAGAACACACCGCTGAGCCAGCCTCTGATAATAGTCTGACTCTAGTGTCCAACTAATGCTAAATACTTGCTGGAGCTGCAGAGGGCCGGTCACACTGAAGTCTCCCTCCTGCGTGTTATCTAATCCACAGCAGTTGTTCAGCATCAAGAGGGTCATTCAGATCTTCTCAACTGTTCTAATGAACAGGCCAAACTTTCCAAAGCCCCCTGCCCCAAGGCTCTTGCCTGCCTCTGGGCATGCTTTGGTCCTAGCTGGGGGAACCTGCAGACTCAGACTCCAAGTCTTACTGTTGATAGCAAACACTTGATTAGCACACATCTGCCACTTGCCCCCCTCCCCTGCTGGGAACCATGCCCTCCAGATGGACTCATCTTTCCATCTGCCATGTTACTCATTTTCTGTATTCCTCTCTCTCTATTCTTGCAGATTACTAAACATTGCTCAGGACTCCATCTTGGTTTGTATATGGCTTTGCTGGGTTTTCTTAGACCATCCCGGGATTACACCCAGGGACGAAAGCAAGACCCCCAGGTGTTTCCTACCCGCCTTGCTGCCTGTTTCCTCATGGATCACCATGGGAAGGATTGAGCTAGCCTCTGCAAAGGGTAGAATTGTGTTTTTTTTTCTGGGCAGAGGGTGAATGTTTTGGACTAGTACCTCTGAAACGTGTACAGTGTCTGGACTACACTGAGGAGCTTGTCCAGACCCAGAAGGCTAGCCCTACCATCACTTGATTCAGGAGGTCTGGGTGGGACTCCAGTCCACGTTTTCTAGTCTGTCTCACTAAGTAGCCCAGGGTGGCCTGAAACTCATGACAATCCACTTTCTTCCATTCCCTAAAAGTGGGATTGCAGGCAAAGCCACCACACCTGGCTTCAGAGTTCAAATTTCTAACAATTTCCCAGTAGATGCGAAGCGAGAGACTCTGTGACCTAGATCATGGCCTCCAGAATGAGTTCCTGCCAGGGCCTCTTGGCCTCCTCCACCATTCCCCGAACAAGTCTACCCTGAGCCACCTCACCTCCCTGGATGAGGATAAAGCCCAGGATGAGGACTTTGGAATACTATAGAGTATTACTGAAGGCTTGATCAACTGGCACACAGTAGCTAAGAGCCACTTGTTAAAGTGACTGAGATGTCTAGTTACCTGTTTGATATTTTAGCTGTAGGAGAGGGGAACACTTCAGGAGCTGGGTCAGCTTATGGTTCATTCTTGGGAAATATTAGTGAAGAAGCCATTGCCCAGGCCTTAGCCCTTGTGGGGTTTGTGTTTTGTTTTGTTTTCAAGATAGGATCTCACTATTTAGCTCCAGCTGTCCTGGACCTCCCTATGTAGACCAGGCTGGCCTCAAACTCAAAGAGTCTGCCTGCCTCTGCCTCCCGAGTGCTGGGATTGAAGGTGTGCACCACCACACCTGGCCCTTGGGGGGGGGGGTTATAACCAAATCAAAACTCCAGTCATCTATGAATAAAAGGAGAGAATGACATGGAGGCATGGAGTGGAGAGAAGTCCAAGTCATAGGGACTCTGAATGACAAGATGAATCCCTGGGCATAAGCCCAAGAAGAAGAGACCAGGACAGGAGACAGGGTGGCAGTGTAGCGGGGTCCTGAAGTCGGGATGGATGGAGGACAGCAGCTGTCATCCTGTCCTCGCTGGTATCACCAGCCTCTACAGTTGTGATCTCAGCAATACTCAAGAGGCAGATAGAGCCCATGGACTTATGGATTGGAAAGCCTTGAAGACTGCGAAGCCCAGTCCTGGCAGGAAAGGAATATTGGGGGACACAGATGACATTTCTACACCTCCTTCTGATACCAACCCGGATGTACTGAGGGCAGAGAGAGCAGGCTCCTAAAGTCAGCCTGGCATGGGGCTGGCCACAACCTCACTTCCAGTAGGGCTCAGTACTGGCTGGGACCCTAGCCTTTAGGGTCCCGACCTAGGTCTGTGACCCGACTAAGGCACAAAGAAACCGCAACAGGACATGGAGTCCAAGGGATCTGCAGACACAAAGGATGTCCTTATGCGCTCCTTTCTCCGGTCTGGCCCTGTCAAGGGCAGTGTGGGAAGGATGGGGCAGGACACCAAAAGCCCATACTCAGCCGGGCAGTGTTGGCACACACTTTTAATCTCGGCACTCAGGAAGGCAGAGGCAGGCGGATCTCTGTGAGTTCAAGGCCAGCCTGGTCTACAGACTGAGATCCAGGACAGTCAGAACTGTATAGGAGAATTCTTGTCTAGAAAAATCAAAACAAAACCAACCTACCAAACAGAAAAGCCCATACTCATGAAAACCTTATTCCTGGAGTTCCCTGTGTTTCTATCCCTCATTCAGCATGGACATAATTTGTTCTTGCAAGAGAGGAAGCCATGTGATATGGGAAGTTAATGCTCATGTCTCTTAAGGAGCAGCCTGTTGTCACAGATCAAGCACAAAAAGGAGGCATGAATTCAAATCCTGTCTCTGCCCTAGCTGAACCATGTGATCACATCCTAGCCTCATAACTAAGGTGGCTTCTTTACATGTACAACAGGGATGATAAGACCTGCCTTCAGGGCTGGAGAGATGGCTCAGCAGTTAAGAGCACTTGATCTTGCAGAGGCCCTGGGTTAAGTTCCCAGCACCCACACAGTGGTACACAATGACCCCAAACCCAGGAGATACAACACCCTCTTCTGACCTCCACAGGCACCAACCACATACATGGTGCATAGAAATACATACAGGCAAAACTCACACATAAAGTAAATAAATTAAAAAAGAAAAAAAAAAAGACTTGTCTAGTAAGGCCTGGGGGGGGGCACAACTTGCTGTAAAATCACTTTAAGCCCAATGTACACACCTGCATGTGGTCAACTGAAGGCCAGCATCCAGCATCGTGGAGGTGGTCCAGCAGAAATCACTCCCATTTTACCATGGACTGCATGTAGTCTAGAGTTAAGACTTTCAACTTTAACACAACTCATGGATGTGTTTTGTTGGCCAATGACTAACATTTTTTTTTTTCAGTATTCATTTCTTTCCCAACATTTGCATTAAGGCCAGCTTTTATGCTTGATCTAAAATACTTGATGATCTAGATACACAAAGTCCACATATTGTATGGTGGCATTAATTGATGAGCAGGTACCTGGATACATCACTCATCCCATTGTCCCGGTGACCCTTGGAGGCATTTGGGTTTCCTGCCTCTGAGCTTGACTGGCTTACACAGGACCCAGCACTGAGGCCTGTGTTTGCCAGATTTTCTCCTAATCAGAACTACGAGCTGTGAAAGCCAGAGAGCTTATGCACTTAGAGACTAGGGGCTGGGGGTTTTCCCAGGGGGCTATGGCAGCCAGACTGAGCTTGGGCTCAGCCAGAGAGAAAATGGAGGAGGAAGAGAGGAAGGCAGCCTATCAATAGCACACCCTATACTGAACGGAGGGGAAAGAAGCTGGTGATTCAGGCGGCAGAAGGAAAGGTGCACCAAGGCTTGCTTGAAACAGAGAACTTCCTCGCTGGAGGAACATGAAGGAAGGCTGAGGATGTTCCTCTGGCAAGCTCTAGGATCCTTTCCTGCCTGGATCACACGGCTAAGAGGGGCTGTGTCAGCAGAGGAACTGCAATAGAAACCCATCTCTGGGGCTTACTGGTTGTTTGACCTTGGGCAAGTCTCTTCACCTCCTGAGCACCGTGAGACTTCATCTCCAAAACAGGGATAATAAACTTACCTGCACAAGTGCTCTAAGGATTGGGGGATTATGAATGTAGAGGCCTCAGAATTGCACAGAGTGGGCAAAAATGAAAGCAACCTGTGACTAATTCCCCAGGTCCCTGCCTCCGGGAGACTCAAGCCTGACTTCCCAGGTAGCGCCCATTTAAGGGCGTCTTATGCCAAGGCCTCAAATGCCCCAGATCCTGGGCACCAGATAGTTCACTGGATAGTAAAAGAAACGTAGGGTGGCTGTGGTCTCAAGGGTGCTGTATCTGAAGCCTGTGGTCAGGGCTGGCATCTGCTGAGTCAGGCCCTACTGGCAAGGGGGCCATTTCTCTCTCCTGCTGAAAGGAGGTTGGGAGGGAAGCCAGAGGTCATTTCCTCTGACTCAGCAGCCATTCGAGGGGCTCCCTTGGGCAGGGCACCTCCATGTGGCACTGCCTCTTTGCAGGCCAGCCTCCATGCCACACCACAGTCAAGGCATTGTGCACAGACAAGAAAGGGGCACTGTGGTCCAGACAATGAGCTGGGTTGCTCCCATCTGGCCTGAGACTCAGCTTCCCGGGGTCAGCAATGTCCTTTGCTCTGCTTCTATCCCTCCCTGGAGAATGGTGGCCAGGAACATGAAGTGGAGGCCCATTGCAGGCCCATGATTCGGCGCATACCCTAGCCATGAGGGGAGCAGCTTATTTTCTCTTCCCTAGTAAGAAAAATCACCTCTAAAGAATGCAATTTTGGGCCAAGCCATGTCGCAAGAGACCACTCTAGTGGTAGTACTAACAATGGTAGTCACCCGGCAAAGCCCCCAGACCCAACCTCCAGGCCTCCTCCTCCCTAGGCAGGCCCAGGGTCTGGGCCGCCTCCACGTTTGCAGCCACCCTGGGAGTCCTGTTGCGACGACTGTAGCCACGTGGGAGCCGGCTCGTGCCCACAGAACCGCTCGCCCTCACCCCCACCCTCGACGTGCTCAGGCAGGCACACCCAGACCGGCCAGAGGAGCGATGCTCTCCCCACAGCGCACCCCCTTCGCTACCCCCCCCCCCGCGCCCCCGGCCGTGGTGGGGGAGGGGGCGTCGCCACCCCGCAGTCGCGTTGCTGGGGAGCGCAACCCCGTTGCTGTGGCAACGGTTTCCAAGCGAACTGGTGGCGGCTCGCGCCCGGCTCGGGCTCCCTAGCTCACTGGCGCTCTCCTTCCCCTCCTTCCTTCCCTCCGGTGTGGGCTGGGGGAGGGGCTGCCCGCTGTCTCGGTCCGGGTGGCGAGACCAGGATAAGGCTCTGAGCCACCCGCAGGGAGGGTCATCAGCCTGAAGACCATCTTTTGCCCGCGCCCTGTTCCCGCCCGGCCCGCAGCCGTCGCGGTACTCACGGGCCCAGGCATCCTCTTCGAACTCGTCTTCCTGCCTCGGGGCGAGCGGCCCAGCGGACAGAAGCCCCAGCTTGGAGCAGGCGGCGGCCCGGGGGAGCAGACAGTGGCAGCGAAAGCCGCTCCGAGCGCTGGGCTGGAGGCGCGGGGCGCGCGCACGGGCGCGTGCTGAGTTTGGCGTGCGCGCGCGCGCAGCCAACAGAGGCACCCCCCCACCCCCTGCCACACGCCGCCGAGGCGGCTGCGAGAGGGAAGGGGTGCCCACCTGCCGCACCCAGACACGGCACACGAGTGTGGGCTCGCACTACCAGGGGCATCCTAGCACAGAGAAAGTACTCCCTGCACAGCTCCAGGCAACAGGCTACCCAAAGGGGGCACCCACCGGCAGCTTCGTGGCACAAAGCAGCCATACACACAGGATCCTTAGCGGAGCAGCTGAGTTCACGAACCCAGATACTCACACAGCTCAACCTGTACATGTCCAGACATGTAGTGAGGCAGGGGCTAATGTAAGTCAGCACCCCAGTGTGGCCTTCTCTGAACTCTGGACCCCGCCCACTCTGTTCAAGAAGGCATACATTAGAACATACCTGCTGAGAAGCAACGCAGACCCCACCTGAGTGCCGAATCTCCCAAGGTTCCAGGGGTTATGCTGACCCCAAGGGAACAAATATTGCGTAGAGCAGGCCCCATCTTAAGCTTGACCCCGGCCGTACTGGCCTTTCTACTTCAACTTCTCTACGGCATTAAGAATGGTCTTCTAAAAGTACTTCCCACCACATCAATAGGGGACAGTTAGGGCTTTGAGAGCCAGGATCTTAAATAAGCTTAGCCCACAGGAAAAGGGCTCGTAATACCAGTGAACCCAAAACTAAACTAGCTTTGGTCACAGTTGGTTCCAGGCGTTTCAAAAGTTGGGATTAAGATACTGGGCGGTGATGGTGCACACCTTTGATCCCAGCACTGGGGAGGCAGAGGCAGGTGGATCTTTGTGAGTTCCTGGCCAGCCTGGTCTATACAGCGAGTTCCAGGACTGGCTCCAAGGCTACAGAGAGAAACCCTGTTGGGAGTGTGGGGGAGGGGGGATTTGGCATCGAGCACAATGCCCCAGAATGATGGTATGGATGGCCCGCACAGCTCAATTTAAGCTGTGCTACCCATCTCCAGCCGGGCGGTGGTGGCGCACACCTTTAATCCCAGCACTTGGGAGGCAGAGGCAGGCGGATCTCTGTGAGTTCGAGGCCAGCCTGGTCTCCAAAGTGAGTTCCAGGAAAGGCGCAAAGCTACACAGAGAAACCCTGTCTCGAAAAACCAAAAAAAAAAAAAAAAAAAAAAAAAAGTAAGCTGTGCTACCCATCTCCAGTGAGAAGAGAACTCCACGTCTCTCCCAGTAATTCTATTAAAACAAATGAGCAAGAAAACACAAAATCCACAAGTGATATTTAGGACTCATGTCCACCATGTCTTAGGATGGAAAGGATCTGTACTCTGGGCAGCCACCCAGTGTTCGGTCCCTTCCTTTGAACACCAACACCCAGGTTTCAAGGGGATAATCGTTGCCCAGACCTACTCATGGGTGCCATCAAGGGTTAGCCGCTAACAAAAATTCTGTTCCAAGGAACACTGGACATGTTTCTAATCTGGCCACTAGAGTTAGACTCACCGATGCCAAGACAATCAAGTGGAGAATTGACTTCTGATAGTCATACTCTCATGTGAGAAGTTAACAATTAGCAGGGGCCCCTTCTGTCTGAGATGTTTTGTCTTTTCCTCACAGTTCGGGGGATCAAACCCAGGACTCTCAGACTACTACAAAAGCAGTTCTACACTGTGCTCCACCTACAAGCCTCCCATGGTTTTTGTTTTTTTCAAGACAGGGTTTCTTTGTGTACCTATGGCCATGCTGGAACTCACTCTGTAGACCAGGTTGACCTCGGACTCAGAGATCCTCCCCGAGATCCTCCCCTTCCCACCACACCCCCAGCACGCCTCCATAGGTCACATGCGTTTGTGTGCAGTGTGTATACAATGAGATAAAAGCCCAGCACTATCTAATCCACATGGATGGGGATAACAGAGAATGGTTTGCCAAAGTTATATTAGGGTGCTTTTCTACATTGTGGGACAGGCCTTTAATATACAGGCAGTCAAAACCCTTCAGGGACCCTCCCGATCTCCAGTAGAGTCCACACAGAGTACAGCTTTCAAGACATCTTACCAACTCCAACTGCAGCCAATCCTTTCCCAACCCATGTTCACATCCTTTTGATGGGCACAGCTGGCCTTGTCCTGGAGAGTATCAACTCTTTTGGGGCCAAGGGACCACTGTTTAATGTTATCCCCAAGACTCAGCCCTCTAGAATCCTTTGCCACAACGCTGATCACATCGAATACGACTGTTTCCACATCTCCTTGCCTACCAAATTAGCGTCACGCTGGCAGGGACCTCATCTCCATCTGGGTCCCTAGTTCTCACTACAGGGCTGGGCAGGGAGGAGTGGAGTTTGAGTCTTGTTGGGAAACTTCATGAAGAATTTAATATGAGCCTAACCTTAGACAAGGTGTTCCCTAGATGCCTCCTAGCTCAAAGGAGGTTGAAGGATCTGGACTGAGAAGCAGGCCGAGTATTTCATGGCACTACCTGGTACCTGCTCACCCTTGCACACCCTTATTTCCTTCGCGTGGATGGGAGCATCAGCAAACATTCTATACGCTAGGAGGCTCCTTCTGAGGACACCTGTGGCAACTACTGGCGTGATGGCACACACATATAATCCCAACACTACACAGGGAAGGCCAGAGAATCAGAGGTCTGAGGCCAGTCTAGCCTACCTACACAGTGAATTCCGGGCCATCCAGGAGAACTGGAGGACTCCCTGGTTGTTTCATAGTCTCTCAGCTGACATCCTATGCAGTCAGCTCCCAAAGCTGCAGACTATGACACGCACCCATGGCTGTCATGGTCACAGCATTTGGTGCCCAGCTCACAGGCAGGGTGGTTCCAGGGACTCTTGGGAAACTAAGGCCCCTGGGAGGAGTTTGCAAAGCCTGAGAGAAGTTTGTTGTTTAAACAGCTTACTGCCCCCCCCAAATTTGCACCGGTAGTCTCCCCCCTCCCCGGCCCCCCAATGATCTTGCTAATTTCTGTCTTCAGGTGACTACTTCAGGACCCGGTAGTCACTAACTTCAGAAAACTCTCTTCTCTGAAACTCAGGCGGCTGGTCCCTGCTACCCTTGCCACACTTGTTCTTCCTCAAACCAAGTCACTCAGTTCATCTCTTTGGCCACCCACAGGAGAAAAGAGAGCTGGATCTCATGCATGTGTGCCACATCAGGGTGGACACACAGCAGAGGGCCAGGTTAACACTGACTCAGGGCTGGTGTTCCTTACCACAGCTCCCACCTGCCTCTCCAGGCCACTGTCAAGTTTACAAGGCCACTTTGGCCTCAGAAAGTTTACAGACCAGTCAAATATATCTACCTCTGTAGAAGTTGGACATACACCCTAGCTGGTATCCAAGGCTGTGTCCCACCTAGGAGTGGAAAAACCGAGATTGAGCCCCCACACCAAGGTCTGGTTGCCTGTAAAGTCCTGAGGATTCTTGGGCTTTTTAAGGGCAGACTCCTAGTCTCACTCCTAGTCCATCTCCAATCCCTTCTGACTGCGTCAAGAACAGGAAGAATCCTTGAAACACCAGAAATATTTTAAAAAAAAGAGGCAGGCAGGGGTGGCTGGCCAGGCTTGTGCTCAGACTGTATTTGCACAAAGACACATGGCAGCTCACATTGGTCACACAGAGACATGTGGCAGCTCACATTGGCTTTAAATACGGAAAAGCCAGGGCCTTATGGTCCCATGTTGTCCTAACATAAGCATTAGGACGGCCATCAGTCTGAGACAGGCCAGGGCTAGGGTCTGGGCTTAGGCACAGCCTTACCCTACCCTCTTCACACACTGATATACACTCAGCCCCCCAACCCCCAACAGGCACACACAGGGAAGCGTAGATTATTGCTGGGCACATGTCTACATTTATGAGGGATTCTGGAATGTTGGAGGGGTAAATCTAACCCCTCCTATGGCCTGGGCTGGGGCACTTCTGAAAAATGTATCTTCAGGACATGACCTAGAACAAGGGATAATGTGCTGAGAGCTGGAAGGCAGATGACCTATCCTGTGGTCTGATGGGTCCCAGTCAGTTCAGTCTATGGTTACACTACGGCCCAGGCCTAGAGGACACAAAGCCCCCATTTCCAGCTCTAACAAAAGCTGAGAGAAAGTGACAGCATTGGGCAACCAGAAGGTGGTGGCCCAAGTCCACAACAGGCAGGCACAAGTCTCACTTGGAGGTTGGTGGTGACCAGTGCAATGCTGGGGTCAGAGACTGACCTGGCCCATACTCTGCTCATCTGGACTGGGCCCAAGAAGCCTCGAGTTTGGCACTGGCTCCTCTGCCAGCTCCTGGCTCTCCCAGTCAGGGCTGGTTGCCCTGGAGTGCCAGGTCCAGGGTGGAATTAAGAACGCTCTGGTAGCTATATACATTCGTACAAATACATAAATACATAAAGCCCCGAGCTCCGCAGAGAAGAGCTGAAGGGACGCACCTTTGTCCCAAGATGGCCCAGGCCTTGTCAAACTCAGCTGGGCCAGGGCTGAGGGACGGAGGACACTGAGGACAGTTCCGGCTGTGTCCCCAGGCCACGACTTGAGTGGACAAGGGGGACACCACTGTGTAAAACTGTCAACGTCACTGAGAGTAGCTGCTACCGCCAGCCATCGGTGGGGGCCTCGGCCTGGGGGCTAGAGGCGGGTGGGGAGCTCTTCCTCACTGTCGCTGCCGTTTCCACAGCAATCCTGGAGGACAGGGAAGAATGGAGGAGAGAGGCACAGCAGGAGCCATTAGTGCCCGCCGAGGCTGGCCAAGGCCAGCGGCAGGTCCAGCAAGGGGCCGTGGGGTTCCCACAGCACTTAGAGTAGCAGCGTGGGCCAAACATGGGTGGGGTCAGGGGACAGCTTTCTAGCGACAGACTCAAGTCAGACCAGGAAGCTCCCGGGATCTGCCCGAGCAAGGCCTCTGTCCATGCCCTGGACGGACTCAGGACAGGGAGACAGATGCTAGGGAAGGTTAGCAGCTTGAAGGGGTCAGGGTGCAGGGAAGCAAGCAGCAGGGAGGGAGCGGGGAGGTGGGCACCAGACTTCTTTCTCCTACATCTCGCCTCTGTCATGGAAGGGCTGCCTGGGGCTCCCCACGGTCAGGCAGCAAGGCCAACCCCCGAGGAGCCCACACTGCTCACCTCTGGAAAGAGAAAAGAGGCCATGAGACCAGCCAGG